TGTTTAATTGAACTAAATGTTTAATTTGGTTTGGAATATTGAAAGGGAATTTTAGTATAGTTCATATAATTTTTATTGATGCTATAAGTATGGGAAAGGAGCTATTTAAGTGTCTATGTACACGAGCATTAATTTATATATTTTCGTACCTAAGTGCACTTAAGGTGTTTTAAACACCGAGAGATAGGATTTGTGGTGCATTATGCGCTTAAGGTGTTATTTAACGTCGAGATAGTTTCAAAAGGATTCAACATTAAATTAAATGTGGTCATTAATTATTCAAGAATTAAATAAATTGGTATGGTTGATTGCTTGAATGATTTATGATGATTGTTTGTGTTGTGGATTGAGAGTCATCACCAAGTCTAAAAATATGTAAACTACGTAAAGTGAAAGAGATTACGCACCAAAACTCTTGGAACGTATATACCTCCACTACTAGAAAACAGCCAATCAACGACGGAATTAATCCGTCGGAAATGCCCATAATTCCGTCGGAAGGCGTCGTCGCATTACTGTTTGTAGGAATTTCGCGATATTTGAGGGAAATTCCGTCGGAAAGGTCTATTCCGACGGATTTTGTTTTGTCGAAGTCAAGTTTGACTTAATTGGGAAGTCCGTCGCAACATTCGGACGAACTGAATTCCGTCGTATTACAACCTTCCGACGGAAACAACTATGCTTCCGACGGAATTTCCGTCGGAAAGTTTAATAAAAAAAATAAAAAATAAATAAAAAGCCCCACCTACCCCTAACCCACTGCCCCGCCTACCCCTAACCCACTGCCCACCCCCTAACCCACCACCCACCACTGCCCACATTAACCAACCCCCACCACCGTAATCCACCCACACCCTTAACCCCACCCACAACCTTAACCCCAACCCACAACCTTAACCCCAACCCACCTCACCCCCACCCCCTAACCCCACCACCGTAACCCCACCACACACCCTTAACCCACCCCCTAACCCACCACGACCATCATAACCCAGACTCACACCACCGTACCAAACCCACAACCACGCCACCAAACCCATGAAACCACCCACAACCCTAACTAACCCTAACCCACGCCACCAAACCCCACCAAACCACCCAAAATTTCCCACATCGCCACCCACCACCAGCCCACACGTCATACACACACACTACAACTCATAGGCTCAAAAATTTCAAAAAAAAAAAGAAAAAAAACCAAAAAATTAAAAAATAAACAGATCTTGAATTGAAATGGGCTTCGAATTTCACCACGAAAACGGTTTAACAAGGCCAAATTCGGCCATGAAAGGCCTAGATCTAGGCTTTTATTGATCGAATTTGGCCTAATTAACCTTTGAAATAATCAAAATCGAAGTTGTTTCTTTTTATAAGTAAATCGAAGTTTTGAACAGTGAAACACCCAAAGAAATCGAAGCAAATCCCTGATGAAAATTCTCCATTGTTATCCAGAAAACGTGAAGAAGAAGCTGGATTTGATACTTGGTGGTGGTTGTGTCGAAGAGAAGGAAAAGGAAGAGAAAGGACGAAAGAAAAGGAAGGACGAAGGAGAAGGAAGGAGAATGAGAAGGAAAAGGAAAAGGAAGGAGAAGGGGAAAAATGAGAGGAAAGAGGAGAGGAGAGAGAAAGAGAATAGAAGAGAAGAGGGGCGGCAGAGAGGAGAGAGAAAAGAGAAATGAAGGAGAGGGGTAGGGTTCTGAAATTATATGGGATTTTTTTCTTTTCTTTTTTTTTTTTAATACTTGAAATCCGTCGGAATGCCCATGAATTTCGTCGGAAATTTCCGACGAAATAAAATCCGTCGGAAAATACAGGCTTTCCGACGGATTTTATATCCGTTGGAAGTTTAATGTTCCGACGGAAAATTCCGTCGAAAAACCTATATTTTCCCACGGATTTATATTCCGTCGGAAATTTCCTACGGAATTCCTACAGAAAAAAATCCGTCGGAATTTCTGATATTTTCGACGGAAATACGTGTCCGTCGAAAACTGTCCGTCAAAAATCGACCTATTTCTAGTAGTGCTCGAGTACGAACATATGGGGGGGTTATGAGACTTTATATTTGACCATAAATTCTGGGAACACATGACGTTGTATTTTCCTTTTTTATTATGCGCAAAAATTCCGCCACTACTTACGAATGGTTCTTTTATACTGGCACGGTTAGCTCCCGTGTTAGTACCCCTTTATTGAGGCAAGTTAGGGGGAAACCCGTTTGATGCTTAATCAAGCTAAATAAGCAATCTATTTATTTTATTGGTTGATTGTGTTGTTTTTTGTATGCTTGTAAACAGGTGCAACAAGGTAAGTGGTGTGTTGATAGGATGAAAGCATGTTAGTGTGTATTGTTTACCTTTATGTACTCAACATTGCTGATTGGGTGTTTGTATGTTTGTTTGGCCTTGTCTTTATCTTGGCCCTACGACGACCCATTTCTTATGGCGAGTAGTGGGGACAAAGTAAAGAGAAGCTTTTTAGGTGATGAAGCATATTCATGATGAGCATGAGTGAAGAACGAATCCTGTTTAGTTTCCATAAGAATATGATGTGTTTTATTTGCTTTGATTATTATATATTTGCTTGTGAGACTAACACAAAGGTTTTAATATTTGTTTTGGGTTTTAATAAGGGCCTACAATGGTTCCAAGTTGTAGGTTGACTTTATTTGATCGACTTCGTTTGATTTCGGTTTGACTTTACTTTCGTTTGGTTTGACTTTTTAAGTTGACTTGTTTTGAATGGTTTTTAAAGTGAGTCTTCCGTTGTGTGTCTTTAATAATTGCCTTAGCCGTTTTCACGGTGACAGTAATGTTTTAAATTTTCCTATTTCGTATTTTAAAAAGAGCAAAATAGGTATTTTAAAAGAAAGGAATTTCTAGGGAGTTATAGATACTTTGATACATCCATTAAAAAACATGGTTAAAGACTTCAATTACCAGCCGGTATATATGTCAAATTGTCAACTGTTTAAGGTATTTGATTTGTAGGCTACATTTTAATCCTTAATTTGTTGTACGAGCATTTTAGCGGACTATGGAAAAAACTGTAGAATTTACTGATGTGAAACTAACCTCTCATACCAAAAGCTTTTGGAAAAGTAAAATTTAACAAGAATAATTTAATTTTTGCTCCATTCTCCCAAAATGCACCAACCTTTAAATCTGTCCAAAATAAACCTAAATTTGTAATTTTTCTCCCGTAGCAACCCTAGCAAGTCACTTGACCTATAATTTAATACCAGGTTGCAATCTATGTGTCATGTCCTCATTGATTAATTTTTTTATTAATTTATTTTTATTTTTAAAAATTCTGATAATAAAAAAAATATTTATTTTTATTTTAAAATTCTGATAATTTAAAAAAAAAAAAAAAAAAACCCTCCCTTTTCCCCACCACTGTCAGGCCCCCTCCTTGCCGGCGGCCGGCGCCCAACCCATTCCCCCGACACCGGCGACCCCACCCCCTCCCTTTCCCCCACCCACGGCAGCCCAGCCCACCTTTCCCCTTTCCGCAATCCCGCTGCCCCCGACACCACCCCCCCTTTCCCCCAACCGAAAAACGGCACCCTCCCCTTCCCCACCTCGAATCGACCCCCCCTTCCCCTACCTCGAATCGACCCCCTCCCCTTCCCCCACCTCAAATTGACCCTTCCTCCCCGTTCCCCCACTCAAAAACACCGCTTCTAGCCCTAAATAATCACCCTGAAAACCATCAAAATGGGTTTTAGGGTTTCTTTTTACCCATTTAGGGTGGTTTTGGGTTCGAGGCAACGATTTTGGGTGGGCAAGAGAAGGAGGGTTGTATCCGGTAGGGGGGAAGGGTGGTGTCGGCAGCGTCGGGGGTGGGTTGGGCGCCGGCCGCCGGTAAGGGGAGGGAGGAGGGGCCGCTAGCAGTGGGGGTGGTTTAAGTTTTTTTTTTAATTTTTTAATTTAATTTTAAAAAGATAATCAAAGAAAAATAAAAAAAATAACCAGTTGTTCAGGTCACAGGTCATTTGGGTTTACTAACAGAGAAAAAAATACAAACTTAGGCTTATTTTGGGCAATTTAAAGATTGGTGCATTTTGGGAGAATGGAACAAATGTTGGATTATTCTTGTTAAATTTTCCTTTGCAATATTATGCGTTGGGTATGGAGGGGCCCATGCTGCATCAACATTTCAATCCTAACGGGCTCTCATGGGAGGAGGCGTGATAGAGTATATAAACCAATTCTGGCACTTAATATTCCACTTTTAAAGGAGTGGTGGATGAGATTCAAACCCATGACTTTTGTGTCATGTTGGCTCTTAATACTATGTTAGAGAATCATCTCAAATAAAAATTTAAGTTGGTGGTTGAAGCTCAGGATCGGTTTATATACCCTATCACTGCACTCAATTTATAGAAGAACGACTCTAAGTAGCGGAGCAAATCAAAGGAGTGTTGAATTCTAGCTCATCAACTTCTTTGTCGAGGGAAAGAGTTGATCTAGAGGTGTTGCAAAATGGCGGTGACAACTGTTGAATCAAGCTCGATCAAGTAACTGGGGTGGTTCTGGTTTTGTACTTATGTGTGAAAGAGTATAGGGTTTTGTATTTGGGAGAGCGCAAAGAGAAAAAGACGTCGTATTTTTTGTTGTCACGCCAACCTAGTGCCTAGTGGTTACAACGTCTTTTAATATTAATTATGATAGTTCATTGAAGGGTTTTGTGATTACTCAACACGTTGTTACTATAATTTAACATAAGATGTGAAAATCAAAGTTTAATTGACGGTTGTATTTAATGAATTATTTGATCGTACACCAAAAGATAGAGGAGTGTGCACCTCATATGCTTGCTACCACACACACCACTTCGCAGAGTTCGAACGTATGTACAAGAGTACAACTTAGTTGTAAAGAAAATTCGAGTTGCAAAGTTCTCACTACTTGGGAACACGTTTTTATAGTCTACATCAGTGCTCTTTGTGGTTATCATACATTAAATAAAACATAAGGACAACGATACGAAATTGGTGGATACAAGATTAAAATCACACTTTGATTATCATTAGCTCGCATTCGTAACAAAAGAATTAACAAAAAATATTACAAATTTAATCTCTTCCAAAGCTCTTTTTTTCTGTGAACTACAACAATCAAACTACATAATATAGCTTAAATAAGATATCTGTTCAAGTTTCTTGTGGAATATAAGATGAACTAATACTTATATTTCACATTTACTAGAAAAGAAAGCGACAAATTAATAAGAATAATAATGAGAATAATTAGGAAGTATTAACAGGAGATAATCTTGGAACATGAACTGGGAAATTATCAATCTCATCAATCCAAGGGTTTTGCTCCTTAGCTGGATTAATGGTCTTCAATGCTTGCCAAACCGCGCTATTACACTTGAATCCTGACCCAAATGCAATTTGCCATGTCCTATGGCCTTTCTTGATCCTTCCCTTAGCTTCGGCGTAAGCCAATTCGTACCACAATGAGCTACTAGACGTGTTACCGAACCTATAAAGTGTCATCCTAGACGGCTCCATATGCCACGATGAAAGATCGAGATTCTTCTCTAACTCGTCCAACACCGCCCTTCCACCAGCATGAATGCAAAAATGCTCAATAGCCAACTTAAAATCGGGAATGTACGGCTTAATTTTCATTTTGAATGCTTTCCTCGCGACTAATGTGACAAAAAATAATAGTTGTTCAGACACGGGAAGGACTAATGGCCCTAGGGTTGTAATGTTAGCCTTTAACGCTTCCCCTGCTACGGCCATTAGGTCTTTAGAGAGAGAAACTCCAATTTTCATATCTTCGTCTTCTTTTTGGTATACACAAGAGTAACTTTTGTCATCGGCACCCTTATGGGTACGAACTGTGTGTACAAGTTGGTACTTAGAACGACGTCGATCAGTTGGTCGATTCGAGAGAAGGATGGCAGCTCCTCCCTTACGGAAGAGGCAATTTGATAACAACATCGATCGATCATTTCCCTTGTACCAATTTTGTGTGATGTTCTCCGTGCTCACTACCAAAGCATAGGTGTTGCCATGTACCTACATTTGCGTACAAAGAGTAATTAATTACTAAATCTTCTAAGGAAAAAAAAAATTAAGCAATGAATATCGCTATAAAATAATTAATTTAACAACTTTCTTAGAGAAATCATAATCAACATAGGATTTAAGGACTAGTATAATTTTATTCATGGACAATTGGACATACATATATGTATGTACGTCCAATAAGAACAATGGAATTAAATTATTAATTAAAGAATAAGATATAGTAGTAGTTGTCGTTGTACTTGACCTAACTGACCTACCCTTCATGCTTTCTTGTTATCAATATTAACAGCTGCACACTTAATTTAATGATCTTATTACAGACATTTCTTTATCCAAAGTGTAACAAGTTATCACTACACGTAAATTTAAAGCGGAAACTATACGGATCTTAGAGAGTGAATCCTAGAATCTAAATTATGCTGGCATATAATTCAAAATTCCAAAAATGTCCTTAAAAGTCAAACATGTGTAATTCATGTATTTATTACTCTGGTTGTATGTAAACATCCATTTTACCATTATTTACACGAGGAAAAAGAAATGATAAAAGAGTAATATTGTGATTTATCTTTTAGTCTATCTTATAAAATTTTAGTAGCTTTTGACATATATAGAAAGTTAGAAAGACTTATGAAAAAGGGGACATTTTTTAAATGACAACAAAAAAAGTGAGCAATTTTATTCCTCACTTTTAAGGGAATCCTAATCACTTCACAAGAAACTGCCCAAATTTGTGCTACATTATTCTACAATACTTAATGATTCTCACCAACAAAATCAAGGGTAGTGTCATATTCCTATATATCAAGAACATTATTGTTTAGAATTTTGATTTAGATTAATTAAGCATGTTATTATGTTAATGATATGATCATATATTTAAAATAAATAAATAAATACCTGTAGAAGTTCCTTGGCAAGATCAATGGAAATGAGGCCAGCACTGCAACCCATACCACCAAGATTGTAGCTCAAAATGTTGCCTCTAAGCTTGTAATGGTTGACAATCATAGCGGACAAAGACGGTGTCGGGTTAAACAAACTACAATTCACAACCAAAATCCCTATATCTTTAGCCTTCACCTTAGTCTTAGCCAACAATTCATCAATGGCTCCAAACATCACTAACTCGGCCTCCTTTCGAGCCAAGTCCATGCACGGGTTGTGTGGAACGTTGATCAAAGCGTCGGGGAAGTACGTATCTTGACCTAAACCCGACCTTTCTAAGATCTTCTTTTGAAAATCTATGTTTTCTTGTGTGAAAGCCCCGACTCTATAGGTACGATCCATGAAAATTTCCCTACTAACTTTCCTAGATGGATCGGGCTTGTAACACGCGAAGTTAACCAAGTATATCTTTCTAGGTCGACTCATGAAGTATAGAGTACCAAGAAAGACCAACAAGGCCATGCACATAAACACCGTGACCATATTATACTTAACAAGGTCTAGTGACAACTGAACCAACCCTTGGAGCGAATGTACTGAAACGTGTACACTACTTAAGACCGTAAGCATTAGAGGCACTAACATTAGATACAAGAAATTCGAGATTAAATAATGATACCCTAGCTTAACATACTTCAATCGGACCGATTGATTGAAGTTCGGAAGCTTATAATTGTTATGATTATTATCGTTACCACTCATCTTGTCACCCCTAGCACCATTGGCTTCCGTGTTTGGACTCATTTCTTGTGCCATTTTTTGAGAGAATGTTATGTAAAAGAATAAAAACTTCCAAAAATTTTGGGATGGAGGGAAAGAGGCAAAAGAGTAAGGTAATTTATAGGGAAAAGAAAGTATGTAAGAAGATACAAAGTAGACCAACGAAAAAGAGAATATAACGTGGGAAAAAAGAGAAAAGATGAGGTTATTAAGAGTGATGGATACAACTATACCAACTACCCCAACGAACTTTTAATTGAATGCGCGCCTTTAAATAATTCTTTGGTTTATGGCATGAGATGGGAAATTATGTAACAAACAATTTAATTTAATTTGGGTAGGCGTTCAGCAGGGAAATGGCAGGTTTTATGCAATTAATATTATACAAGTTTGTTTTTATTTTCTCCAATTGCATAATTTATGATGATTGAGCCATTATTTTTTGACTGGCAAATTTAATTTACAACACGTCTTAGTGATGAATCAAATTTTACACTCTTGTGTGTCTTGACCTTTTTAACATTATTGAGTTCACACTAGGGTATTCCTACTCCAACAAATCGCGCTTTTTTTTTTTGTTTTTTTCTCAAACTTTTACTATCAGTGGATTTTATTACAATAACTGTGACACATGTTGGATTAACTAGTTAGGATGTCACATACTCACATTTATCTCTCAAAAATGGCTGTTTTTTTTTTTAAAAAAAAAAAAAAAAAAAAACTGCTCTCTAAGGCTCTGTTCTCTTTACTTACTTTCACTAGTTTTTAGAAAAAATAAGTTCCAAATAAAAATTACAGAGTAACAAGTTAAGATAAGTTCAGAATTAATAACTTTAGGAAAAACAAGTTTTAATAGAGATTAGAGGTCAATAAGGGCTACACAAGCTCAATTACAACTAAAATAGGGTATGTCAGGCTAAATAAGTTTAGATTAGTTCAGGTTAATGAAATTCAAGATAATAGAACACGCTTTAGATAATATTTTTTTTCTATAATGATCAAGTTTTGAAAATCATTATTTTGTACAATAAAAAAGCTTAAATAAAGTAAAAGTCAAACCGTTGCAACTAAAAAACTATAATCTGTAAAAGATAAAAAGTACAGAGTAAGTCAAATTTGATTGTAACCTATCCTGTCAATATTTCGGAATTTCGGGATTCATCCCCTGATCCCCTTGTAATGTCACATAGAGGGTTTTACTCGTTTGGTGGGGGCATATGATTTTATGGGTACAGGTTGGACATATTAAGACAGTGTGGGCAACTAGCTGATAGTTGTCCAAAGAATTAAAGAGAGTAATACTTGTTCCAACTGTTATCATCTTCTTCAATTTTACAACTAATGATGAAGATGTTTACGAAAGATGATGTACCCCCATATTGCTGGAGTTAGTACGCTTATTTATTGGTCAAGTAAATAGTTGAGGGTACACAAATTTAGGCATAAAATTTACCTGTTTTTTTTTCTTTAGAATGATATTAAGCAATTATTTTCAGTGTCATTGCTGCTTTACTGGAGAGATTGTGAACTAATTAATCACCAAAAAAATCCTCAAATCATTTTGGCCCTACATTTATTTGGCCATTATTATGTACTTGTATGTTTGAATTATTGTTATTAAAACTTATTAATAATTCAATCGTACTTATTGAGAGAATTACAAATCTATAAGATCTTGTATGTAAACGTTTTTTCTTATAGTATCGTAGGTAATAGTCAAACCTGTCTTTGACATTGAAGTCAATGTGTAAAGGAAAATATGAGACGGAGGATCTTTGACATTAAAGTCAAAGTGTAAAGATAAATGTGAGACAGAGGAGAGTATGAATTTTGTACATATAATTATACTGTGTTGATAATACGGAATACTTCATAATGTATGACTCGTGTTTTATGTGATCTTGAATTTTTGAAATGGTCAAAATGTCGGAAAATAAAAAAGTGATCCTTCGAGAAATTCAGTGTGACTCATTGCAATAAGGAATGAGACTAACCATTCTTTGAGCCATCAGCTGTTTGATATGGTTCAATGAGGAGGAATTGGGTTGTGGATTTGTGTGTTGATCTTGATAAACTTGCCTTGCCTACAGTAGGTAAGAGAAATTCAATTAAGTTGAATGGATCCAGAAAATTTACATACAACCAACTTAGTAATTCAAATCACATAAAAGTCAACTCTACAAACTGACGACTTTATAAAACCCGAAATGACACATGTAATGCATGCAAAATTGCAAATACACCTATATGCAAAATGTGTTGTTCAAAAGCAATCTTCCTGTTATTGCACGCAAGAACATGAGCCTTTTTAAAATTAGAGGACTAAAGTTGTTGGTTGTCATTCTTTGGGTGTCTAGGGAATCAGCTAAAGAGCCGTAAAGGACAATGATGTAGACAGACCTAATTTCTGTCCACCTTCAATTCCATCAACTAAGAAAGTTGTCATCCAAGTTAGTTTCATTTTTCAACTCGTTGAAAGGTTTAAAAGTTTTAGTCCTTATGCTTAATCCTGTTAAGAAAAGTTCAAACAGTTCTGAAACCCACTTGTTCCTGAAATAGATCTGACACAAACAATTCAGATTTCAAGCATGAAGAAGATAGGAGGCCAAGCTCTAACCTTTACAAATTTGGCATACATTTTGATATTTGGGAACTCCAATTTACAGCAAAAACAGAAGCTGCTCCTAGATCTGTAGTATGACACTAAGATTTGATCGTTATCTCTGAAAAATAATGAATAACATAGGCTGTCCATCAAACACTAAGAGTGCAGTAATGGCATGGAGCATAAAATCCAGTTGCTGCAATAAACTGATGTATAAGGGACATATATCTATTTCAATTTTATAAACTGATAACACCATATATAATGATAGAAGTTAGGTCCTATATATGAAGGTATGGATATTATCATCAGAACACAAATTTACATCCTTTTAGTTCTGATTGATAACCCCAACTTTCAGATTTCTGCAATCTAGTTTTACTCAAGTCAGAAAGAATACAATTAGAATAGCAGTTTTACTCTACGAAAATTTTTACTGTCAAATACACTACATACCAACAGGTCCAACACTACTAAGACACTCGGGAAAGAGACCGTATGTAGCCATGAAATGTCATCTCAAATCCATGTAACAGACAGTTCCTAGCTGATGTTCTTGACACTTTCCTACTAACCAACTTGTCATATCAGATGGTGATCGTCGATACTGGCATAATGGTTAATAAACATCTTAATCTCAACATTAGTGCTAAATGACAATATCATTGACCAAACAAGTCCCTACTAACAGTATCAATCTACAGGTCAAGATCAGAAGGAAAGAAAATCCTACATATATGATTATAACTGATTACTGCAGATAGTACGCATCATTTGGATGCTGCGATTCTGATAGAATTAAATCAGAGCTATAAAACACAAATTTGCCAGATTTTGCTAGCACAAAGTGCTCATGTTCAACATATGCATAGCGATGTTGGGTATAAATGGAGTCTAAACTTGATGACGTACGCTCTTAATAGGCATGGTATATCGCTGCCTTCAACCAGCAACCTCAGCTCAGAGGTATGTAAGATATTTCTACACCCGGAAAAAATAGTTTTTTGAAACTTTTAAGAATTTTGTAAGTCTTTAAATTTTCGCCGCACCTAGCTAGATTTCGTGGTTATATATTAGCACTGAAGGTGAATATAACCATTCAATCTCAGAATTTTCTTATGCTTACAAAACTAAAATCGATTGACATGGATCAAAGAGCTTGTTAACTATTTCTCAATACACTTCTCCTGTCAACAAAACAAGACAAAGTGTGGCTTATCAGCTGCTATAATATTGAGTCTTAGCATACACCTACATACAATGCTGAGTGTTTTATTTCTAAGTAATGCGAAGCAGATATTATGTGCTGCTGACCAACTTGTCCATTTTTCAGCCAGGAAGAAGGGAAAAAAAAGGCTCAGGGGAATAATGCTAGAATGCATAAGCCTCTCAATATATCATAGTCGACAATTGTGATTGTCAAGCATTTAAGCTGGCTGCATGCTAATGACGGGATTAATTACTCTATTTATTGAATCAAATACCTTTAAAAATAAAAATAAAAAAACAAGTTGATTTGATTCAGCATCACTCCTAAGTCCTAATACACACAGAGGACCTAGCCAAGTGACAAGCATGTATTGTCAAGGTCACAAGTATGTGAGTTTGAGTTCAATGGCAATGAATTTCTGATACACAGGCTCAATTGCTTTGGCGCACTACTCAAACCAAATATAGGAATTTACATTCTTTTTATGATCTATCAAAGGGTCTCTCTACATGTCCACTTTGTCTTTCTTTCTAAGCATTTCAGTCTTCCCTTCCCTAGTGTTTCCAGCTTCCATGAAAGTTTTGTACATATTACGTATAATATCAAATCAAAACTTCTACAAGAAAGACTTCTCCAAGACAAACCATGATGGCAACCTTACTCTCTATTTCCTGCAGCCACTCCAAATGTGAAGCAGAAAGTGTGTAGATTGGTAACTAAGGAAATGGAAAGAAATGAATCAATGATACCTACCTTCCAAGCAGGCAACGGTATCTGCAGACCGAACAACAGCAAAAGACTTAAGAACGGGATTGTGACACTGAGCAATGGGAAGAGATAGTTGAGTGATCTTTTTCCTTGTTTGAACAGTCTGGGGCACAAAGTGAAGGAATTTCTTTGCCAAAGAAAACAAATAGAGGAATAGCAGGCCCTCTTTGTGGACTTAGGCCCTCAAGATATCAATTATGCGTATACATATGGTAAGGAAAGTGACTCATTAGTAAAGCAATGAAGCATGATAGAGAACCCTACTAAAATGAGCATAACCCATAATTTGACTTGAGCAAGATCATGAAGTCTTGGTACACAATCACATGTTCAGTCCCCAATTGGCAATAGCATCAAACTTATACCTTTTTATCTACCATCTGTACATTAATAAGTTGAGGATGTCCAAGAATTGTGTCTACCAGTCACCCTGAGAAGAATGTGATGAAAATAACCTGCGACATTATATGATGGAAGACCCAAGCTAAGCCAAGGCTGGAACTGCACCGCCTAGTAAATGGAAAATCAAAGTTTCTCAAGTTAAGATTAAGGAAAAAATTAAAGACAAATGAAGGCACCAAGTGCAAGAGTAACAACTCAAGGATGAACACAAACAGAAAAACAACCAATTGCATAACCAAGTTACCAAGGTTTAATATGTTAGGACAAAGCAGGTATGAACCTAAAGCCACTAATCACCAGCCACCAGCCACCAGCCACCAGCCACCAGAAATCAATACAACCATTATCAAAAGGGCAAGGGCTGAGCATACCAACAAGATTCAGAATAATACAACTGTCATATGGCACTCAAATCAGCTAAATTACAAGCAAATTATCAACCAACTTCCAATGTGTGTTTTCAACTTGCAACAAAATCTAGAAAAGGTCCGAATTGAATCCTTTTTATCAAGTGCAGAACTACTATTTTATATCTTTGTCTTCTTTTCCTCAAGTGCATGATTACTACTTGTAGTTTTTAGTATGTTGTTTTGTTGAAGGAATCTGGTGTAAGATATTGCACTGGATCGGGATTTCAGGGCTAGCCTATAGCTAGGAGAGTAAATGGAAAATGGCAATTAGAATTATCAAAGGGAAAGCAGCAGAGAAAACACTCTACTTGGTTTTTTTATTTGGGTTTGTCTGACGTATCAAAAGGCTTGAGGTGCACTGAGGCAATCAAGATCCTTCAACGCCTTTTGATTAGCCCATAATTTAACATCATTTAGTTGAATATTGAGATGCAATTGCATGTAATATTAGAGCAATCACTTGAATCTCATATAGTTTGATTCTTACTTGTGTACAATGTCACTTTCATAGATTATTCTGTGATCTAGATATTTTTAAGCACCTATAGATGAATACAAGAATCACGGTACTTGGCACTTTTCACATGACATATAATAGACCCAAAACACGTTAAAATCAAGGAATAAAGTGGTAACAAAAGATAAACAGAAACTACAAATGTTACACTATTTTGTCCCTATCTTTATAATTACAAATGATCTTGCTGTAAGGCCAATTAGGGTGAAAAGTTTAGCTTAACAGCTTTCCAATGATAAACTTTAGTCTAAGCGTCTCAAACAAAGCTTTAATTCAAAAGTTATGGGCAACGTGAACAACCATGCATTTCCTAGTTGCATCCAGACCACCTTGCACAACTGTGCCATACGTGCCGAACTCAATCCTTGTTTACAGCATTGCTAAGTTGGTATATACATTCTAAAGACCTGTAAATACTTCCTTACCCAATTTTAGAGGACAACCGTTAAATTTTCCTTCTCATTTAATACTTTATGCTTAAGTTTTGGGACTGAATTTGGATGATTTATTTGTTCTTTAAGATACTCTACAATTAACTAAATTTGTTATTCTCTCTCTCTCTCTCTCTTTTCTTGCTTTATTTTTATGATGTTTACTTTTACGCCTTGTTTAACATCTTTAACTATGCTAGAGTGATTTATTAATCTAGGGTTTGGCTAACCCTAACTATTGATTTAATTGCATGAATTACTGAATATATAAATTTATTAGATTTAATGTTCCTGCTTATTTAAATTGTTTGTATTTTGAATACTAGATTGGATATAATTAATATGGAAATGAATCTTTATGTCTATATTAAAATAAGAATTGTATCTAGATGGAATGTGTTGAATTATAATATATATATATATATATATGTATGTATATATTATATATACTGTATACGCACACACACACACAAACACACACACACACACACACACACACACACACACACATCTTTCGGGGCATTGGGTATGACAGAAGGGGCTAACAGGGATGCAAACGAGTGATAAGGATAGGAAATTGATAGATTGAATGATACAATAAGTGTTTTCCTTTGATTGTATAAGTTGGTAATAAGGATGGATAAGTAACAAGATTATAAATATATCCTTAATAACACTACCCATCTCTCTTTCTTCCTTCCTTTTCATAAATATACCCTTAATAACATTGCCTTTTTATACTTCTTCCCCTTATAGCACCCCCCTCCCTAGGTATAAGAGGAGGTTTTATCCCTAACCCTATCCTCTATAATTCCCACCCTCCATAATATAACACAAACACTTAGGCCTTATTCTTTTGAACAGGATGAATTTGAATTTAACTGAATGGAATTAAATTTCAAATAGAAAACTAACTAGACTAGATTGAATTGAACTGAAAAAGAAAAGAAAATTAAAAAATAAGTCCAAAATACCAAGGCCTTATTCTTTTACCACTTCCTTATCCTTAACTCTCATCCCTTATCTCCCTAAACAAACAACCCCTGTGGAAATAAGAAAACAGCAAAGTAGATTGAAAGAAAAATAAAGTGCTATACTTAAAATCTTAGGGGTCGTTGGTTCACTAAGCTGGAAAAGATTGGTATGGATTCTCATACTAAAGTGGTATAGATTCTATATCCCATACCAATCTAAAGTTGTTTGGTTTAATCATGGAATAGATTCTCATACTTGAGTGGTAGTATGGATTATGAATCCTTGGGAGGTGGGTATGAGATTCCAAGGGAATGAGATGGAGTTAGAACCCCCCAAGCATGAGATTCCATACTTAAATAGCCCAACCAAACAAATGAAACCATGGAATGGATTCTAAATGAATTCCAACCCATTCTAAGAAGTTCATTGAGTTCATGATATTAGGTGTGATTGCACATTAGGGAAGCCATTGATACTCGGAAGAGGGTTATTAACCTATGGTTTAGCTAATTGGGTTAGCAACAAAAAAAAGTATCACTTTGAAAGTCTAACAAGACTGGCATTCACACAAACACCCCTACATAAAAAGTTGTCATTCTTGGAAACATACAATAACAGCCCGACAAAACAAAAAATTAAGTATAGCATGCTGCCTAAAGCCCACTAGTATTCAGCCTCTTTGCCTTTATATCACAAAATGCAAAGCACCCAACTCCATATTCCCAATACAAAAAACAAAAAGAAATTGCGGTTAGACCTATAAACAGGACAATTTGATTGGTTTGGATCATGTGTGTCATAAGCTGAAGCTCGAAACTTAAAATTCCAGGTCAATTTATTTGTACTTCTGACCAGCAAACAGACAATTTCAAGTTAATAAACTTTAAGTGATCTCATTTACTTCGTATATTTTATAACCCAAATCAATCATACCATCCTTTAGTCTTTGTCAATAATGAATGTTCAATTGGAGCTACATTTTCAGTTTCAGAGCAAAAAATCCATACCAATATAACAAATTCATATTTTAGTCAATACATGTTCATTTTCAGTTACATCATCACATAACAAACATCAAAATTCAAGCAAATTAAAATAAAGCAAAGGCATTTTACCATAATTAATGCATAACGCACTTGTTGTGCCACCAACAGCAGATCAACCTGAAATAGTGAAATTATTTACAAAATTAAGGCAGATATTGAACCATTTAATTAAATTCAAAGATAAAGCTAAAATTAAAAGAATCAATTACTAAATAAAGGAAATTTTAAAAATATTTAATTAAAATTTTGAAAGTAATGTGCATGTCTATATTTTGAAAGCAATACAGGGTACAATCCAACGGCTAGTTTACTGTATTTTTCCCAAAAAAATTCAATTGAAAAGTGAAAACTAATACAAGTAATTATTTGATAAAAAAAACAAACCGAAAAAGAATTAAACTGTTTTTTTATTATTAATATTTATGTTTACCATATCTTTGGAAGGAAGAACATCGCAATGTAGACATTGAGAGGAATCAAGAAGTTGGAATTTGAAGGATTCATCGACATTACACCTTCTTGAAACCCCTAATCCCTCTTTTGTTGTTGATGTGCTGCCTTTAATGAGAACTGTCGAACTGGTGGTTCACAGCAAAGAGAAGGGGGACTAGCGACGGACCGACGGTTGTTTACTTTGGACATGTACAAAATGCCTGTTTATGCAGCCACAATTACTCCGCAACATTAAACGTGCATAGTCACACTACTATACGGCTAGAGGTGTCAAAACCGAACCGATTCGAAAAAAAACCATCCGTTTCGAACTGTAATCGATCCGATTTGATCAGAGAAATTCAAGACTCAAATTCGATCTGTAACCGAACTTAACTCAACCTGAATCCGAATTTGACCCGATTTGAACTTAACCCGACACCGATTTTATCCGACTTGAACTCAACCTGAAACCGATTTGACCCGACTTGAACTCAAACTGAACCGATTTGACTCGACCTGAACTCAATCCGAACCGAAATTGACCCAACAAATACTCGATTCAATCCGATCTGTTTTTAATCCGAACTGATATTAACCCGACCCGATTTTAACCCGAATTGATTTTGACTAGACATGATTTCAAACTAACCATAATTTTAAACCCAACCCATTATTTACCTTTTTTTTTACTTAAACATATATTAATGACACAATTAGGGCAGGAAAAGTGACACATGAATGACTTGATATCGACCAAATAAAAGATGAAAAAAAAAAAAACTCAATAAATACTCTAGTTTTAAAAATGTACTTATTTGGATATTAAATTTGATCAACCCAACCAAAATTCAGCCAAACACAAAAAGTATTTGTATCATAATGGACCAAATACTGAATCAACCTTGTTAATCAAACTGAATTTAACAGAACCGAAATCAACCGAATCGGAACCAACCCGATCCTAAGTCATCCGACCCGCAACCCAGTCAAACTCGTTTTGAACCCGATCAGAATTTATCCGAACTGAATATGAATCAATCTAAAGTTGACCCGACCCAAACCCAGTCAGGACCCGACAGATCTTGACCCAAATTTGACCCGACCTAAAAGTGACTCGACCCGATCCGACCAAGTCAAAAGGGTAATTGTGAACCGAATATACCCAACCCGAACAGACCCGACTTGTCATGGATCAACCCATACTCCATCCGGTTATCTGAATCGACACACCTCTAACTATGGCCCTGTTCGGCGTAACTTGCGGTAGCGGTAACTTTTAGCAACCAAGTAATATAACGAGTAGCTATCAGTTAATAGTAAGTACTCCCTAAGAGGTAATAAAGTCATGTGAGGTCTTGTTGGATTCATCTCATTGTATATTCTATTATCAAGTTTTTATTATTTTTACGCGTAAAGAAATAAAGTTATTTACATTACAAGACGTGTTTCAGAGACTGTGCAAAGTCCAATGGGGCAAAAAAAAAAAGAGACATATGGAGTAGTAAGGTAACCTCCAACTAGCGGTGTGAGTGTTTGGCAAATGTAGCAGTTGAAATACTAATTAAAGTATTGTTTTAAAAAGTAACCAAAATTTGACAAACGCTACCTGCTATCTTTGAAACGCTACTATTTTAACATTTGAGAAAACTTACCAAAACATTTACCTCTAACGCTAACCTCTATCAAACCACTACCTTACAAAACACTCTTAATTTGGTCAAAACAGTAATCGCTACTTCAAACGCTACCACCAAGCAAGGTCTTACTCACAAAATAAAAGGGCAAATTCTAAAGAACATGGACTAAAGAACACATAGAAGGATGTAAGATATAATAAATATACTTCATTGAACATATACATTAAAAACCAAAAACAAAAATTAATTATAAAATGTATTTTTCAAACCTGAAATAGCACGTTTAATCTACTAAAAATCAAGAACATAGATTGTCATTTTAACCAAGTGTATCATGAGCATAAAACTCTTGAGTGCACCATCTAATTTGCAAATAGCTTGAAAGTGCATTTGAGTGTTCGAATAATTCATTTGATTTTTTATTATTTTATGTATAACACATAATTATATCTTCTTTTTTTTTCACAATGGTCAACTTACTCTTACTAGATATTATAATGTGTTACATCATAAAACTCCATTAACATGTAAGAGGTACCTTGGCGATGTCATTAAATGTCAAATCATATCCTGTCGTAAAGGCACTCAAATATTGATCTTTAATTTTAGAATTCGTTTCCTCAATACTTTACTAAATTCGATGGCTTATTTAAGAATGACTTGGTTATTATTGGATTCATTTGATGGGATTAAGGTAAACTTGACTCTTCTTGCATGCAATACTTTTGAGGTTGACTCCTTTTTTGCAATGTCAATAACTCTTCACAATAGAATCCCAATGAATTGGAAAATATGAATCAAGTTCCATTGAAAAGTGACAATCTAATTATTCTTATTATAAATGATCCCTTTAAAAATCCTCACATAATCGAGGAATACAATACCTCCTTTGAATATCTTTGAAGAACAAAATATTCAAAGAAGCAAGTAAAAGCAAGCTGATTTGATGGAACAATGTGTCAAAGTGCCTATGAAGAGGAAAGCTTGAACTTGAAGTAATTAATTAAAAAAAATAAAAAAATTAGGGTTCTAGTAAGCAAATTAGAAAACTAATCATAATTATCTAAGTAATGCTTAGTTGAGCTTTACAAAAAGTACTTATAGTCTAAGAACTTGAAATCCATAAACTAAGAAAATAGATTGCAAAACCTCACTCCAGAGACCACGCAACCTCACATGCGAGAAGAGGGTTGAAAGTATTTTAAAAGTTGTTGTGCCAAAGGAAATTGGCTTTAGATCGGACGGGCATGCAATGTGTTGATGATAAAACTCTAATGCTCCACTGCATGTCTGCATCCTACGTCTAGATACCCACGCAACCCACTCAATCGACACGGTGGAGGTTGGATATAAAAGTATTACTTCCATATGGCTTCCCAAACCTCGCTTGATCATGTCCAAATTAAAACTTTGTTGGACGAGAACTTTCATTCACTGACTTATGCAATCTCTCATGACCTCTTTTTTAAGGAGAAAATGATCGAAAACTTCTAGATTCCTACAAAAGTCAAATACATCTTAAGAGCTAAAAAATGCAAGTGAATAGCTAAGAAATGAGGGCATGATAACAAACCTAATCTTTTGCTTTAATTAAATTGTAGATTAATGTTTTTCTTTAATTATTTACAAGAATGAGTCAATTGTCTCTTAGTTAGAGATTAACTTAATTTTCTTCCCTTAAAAAATTAATTTTTTAATTTTTGTTTTATTTATTTTTCACACGAACATAAAATTTATACACTTGTCTCACACAAACCTAAATTTTATGCTATTTTGTTACTTACTCCGTTTACTCATAGTATTCACTATGAAAATTAGTGTATCAATAATCATGATTTTTTATTGTAATAACTAAAAATTATATATAAAAAAATTTTATACCAATAACTAAACACGTTTTTAATTTAATTTATTTAATTAATTTATTTTTAATTTTTACACCAATAAGATTAATTGGCCAACAAATCTTAGAGCTTTTCCCATTTTCTCCTATGTTAATTTTTTTCCCCTTTGGAGCTTTTTCACGTTTACGCTGCTTCTCTTCTTCTCTCTCTCCTCCATTGAAGCCTACTCTTAATTCTCCATTGAAGCAGCTTCTCGGCTTTCTCTCCTCCATTGAAGCACCTTCTGAGGTAAAGATGTTTTTTTGCTTTTTATTTTTGTATAAATAATCGAATATCAATTTCACAATCTAGTGTTAATCGTTAATTTAATTTCACTATATTCAATTTAGGGTTCTTCTTAGGTAGATTATTGAACTATTGGTTGTAATTATTGAAGTTGTGAATGATTATAATGAGCGATTTTGTTGCTGGGATTTTGATATTCATAGTGTTTACCGGAGAATAATTTAATGTGATTTTTTGAGCTTATTTTGATGATTGAATCAAATTTGGTTGTTAATGTGTTGCAGGATTTTGTTTATACAAGTACAACCCTTTAATGTTAGGAGGGAACTATGAAAATGGACCTTTACTCCCTGGGCCTAGGGTGGCCGCCCCTCATTCCTTGGCTCAGGGACGGGCTTGCTTGGATGAGTATGTGAATCGTGATGATGTCGAGTTGTATCGTGCCCGGGAGGTTATTGAGACTGCCAGCACGAGTGGCGGTGGTGGCAATGTCTTCGAAAATGCTATCACTGTGGTGTCTACTGCTGCAGGAAATACTTCTACTACTACAAGTACGATGTATTTCCCCCAAACTATTGTGTTTTGTGAGCTCCGTCACGAGGGTTTTGAGGATTCTGTTCCCACTGGGCCTGCTGAGAGCGGGTTGGTGTCGAAATGGCGGCCTAGGGATCGAGTAAGATTCCTTTTTATTCTTGAAGTAGCTTTGTTTTGGTTGTTGTTGTTTCATATTGTGTTAATAGAACTATATATGGACTTGGGAAATGTGTAATGTATGAAAAATCTATAAGTTTTCTTATGCTGATTTTATTTTAATAGCTGGGAAGAATTTGAGTATATTTCTTTTGGGTTTTAGGTATATGTTGTTCAGGTTAGGCTGCGATTGTGCTAATTTTCTGAAATAGAGGACTACAAGATGTACTCTTGTGTGTGATACTGTTAGGAGTCCATGTATCATATTTATGAAGGGTGAACCTTACTTGTGCTGAGATTATCTTTTATTCCATATTACTTTGTTGAGGATGCAATGCAATGCTGGGGAATTCTACAATGCTCTACAAGCTAGTTTGACTAATGGTATTAACCAATAGAGAGATAGAACTCTTCTTAAACCAACAGATTGTCAAATGATATCGACACAATAGTTACTTAGGTGTCTATATTTTGTTGTTTACAAGGTTTGTTAAGACATTAGAAAGTGATACTTTTGTGTAGAAAGAGATTTGAAATACTCCAAAGTATTTACTAGTCAGAAAACTCTTTGAGCTCTCCTGTTGTTTAGGCTCAAATCAGCTTTGGAATTGCACTCTGGAACTGTTTGTTTACAAGATTATGGGAGCAGTAGCTCATTCGTCCTTGCTTAGTAGTTTCCTAGGATAATTGGTTCCATGGGTTGGAAAGAATTGCCTTTTTTGCCTTCAAGATAATATAGCT